AGCGGGGGCTGTTCTGCCGGGAGAACGGCAGGCTGGGGGGAGAGCGCATTGCGGCCTGCCAGTCCCTGAGGAGGCCTGTGGGAAAGAGGGGGGCAGGCCTGTTGTGACAGGACAAGGGGTAACGGTTTTAACCTAAGGGAGGGTAGATTTAGGCTGGATATAAAGAAGAAATGTTTTACACTGAGGGTGGTGAAACACTGGAACGGGTTGCCCAGAGAGGTGGGAGATGCCCCATCCCTGGAAACATTCAAGGCCAGGTTGGACGGGGCTCTGAGCAACCTGGTCTGGTTGGAGACGTCCCAGATCACTGCAGGGGGGTTGGGCTAGATGACCTCTAAAGGTCCTTTCCAACCAAAGCATTCTGATTCTATGCATATTCTCCCAGGAGTGGCTGTCAGTTCTGGGAACTGAAAGCGTTTGGGTTTTTCCTATCCCTCAGAATAGCAGCACTTGAAACAGAACAGCTGCTTCAGTGACAAAGCAAGTGTAGCATCAAGGCAAGAGCACTAATGGAAGTTAACCTACATCGTTAATCTGCAAGTTCACGTTTCAGTGTTGTCTTACAAGTATGGTCTGCACCTTCACCTGAAACACTTGTATGAGTGTTTTACAGTTTGAATACAGAACTCTGGTTTTCCATCTGGTTTCCCTCAGAGCTTCAGTCCACCCGCTGTCCTTCCCTCATCAGGATTTCAGAAGATTCCGTGCAGTGACACAGACATGTCAGACTGCATGATGCGGAACAGCTCCTTGGCCACCTGATTCTTTGCATGTGGAGGTTTGCAGAGGCCAACCAGGGATCTGACTTGCCGTTTGCAAGCCTTAAGTTAGTGTGAGCTCTGCATTTCGAGAGTGTGGTCATGCATAAAAGAATGACAGTGCATAAAGTTAATATTTTCTTAGTAGGGAAATTGACGGCGTATCTTGGCTGCTTTAATTATGGACTAAGAATTGGAAAAATGCTGCTGTACCAGGCAGAGCCCTCCATTGGTGGGGAGACACATGAGAGACGACTGTCCTTTAAACACACAAAGGGTGGCCGTGGCAGTCCATCTGTGCTGCTTGGACTCTGACCGAGGCCAAAAGTCTTGAAGCCCCCGTTAATGCTAGAAGATGAGTAAAGCTCCGTGTCCGTCCTGGCTGCGTGTAGGTGTAGCTGGCCTTTCCGGGAAGGGAGATCCTCGCTCCCTGGGCAGCACTGAGGATCTTGCCGCCCTTGTCTCCCTGGTGTTGGGCCCTTCCCACCTGCTCCCAGTAAGTGCCCGACACTGGTGCTAGACTGTCAATGCACAGGGATGTGAAATACTCTGTACTCAGCCGCTCCTGGATGGACTTGTTCCATGCTGTTTTTTTAGGCTTAGCATACAATTTGCTGGATGAGCCATGGAAAATAGAGCCAATGTGTGAGAAACTGCCTGCCTTTGCCAATGAAAGCTGTTCTTTGCTGTCTCTGTCCCCAGAGTGCTTAAGAAAGTAATCCAATAGCACAGAGTTGAAAAAATGGTGAGTGAGGCACACGGCTAACGTTTTGCATGCTGTTGTTTCCTCTCCGTGATCCCAATGCATGTTTTTTAACTGCTGTTACAGAGGTGCAGGGATTACTGAAGGGAAGTATTAGTTAATCATTCCAGGCATATTTGTTTTCAATGACAGGTGTATTTATGTCTGATGAAGGTTTTGAAAACAATTCTGATCCTGACTGTAACAAAGCAAAGCCTTAAAATCCAAAGATAGCAGCTATTTTTGTGCTGGCGGCGCATAGGAATCTGGCTCAATTCGTCAGTGAATTCAGCCAGTGCTATCCTGCCTGCCCTCTCTCCCGTGTTACTGGCCTCTAGCAGGAAAAGCCAAACAGACAGACTAACTGGTCCTGAACCATTACAGTCCTCAGGATGGTGTTTTTCTGAAAGTGAAGACAGCACAGGAAAGCACTTACAGACTGGACGGGTGTTGGTGGTGTATACTCCATCTGGCCTTCCTCCTCTGAAGCTGCAGGGGGAGGTGGGCATGCCAGCTAAACCTCCCTGTGTGGTGAGTTGGAGCTCGCCATGAACTTCATCCGAAAAAAGGGTCCTGACGCACCAAGTGCTGCGCAAGCACACGAGAAGCAGTCTTTGGCTTTGTGGCTAGACACAGCCACGGCCAACCTGATCTCGTGCTGGCAGTAATCCTGTGTCTGGAAACGTCCAGAGGTCTTTCCAGCCAACACTTGCAGGATGCCAACTCTGGCAGAGCATTACATAAAGGAAGGAAAGGTTTCCATTATATATTTTGGCTCCACGGGTAACTGGATGCAAAGGGAGATAAACAATCGTACTGCAGTTAGGCAGCACAGATGATCTGCAGTAAAACTGGGAGTTGAACCCAGTCCTCATTGGTCTCAGACCCTCTCTTTAAGTGAGAGCTGAGTGAGTGCCTTGGAATCAGAATTTTTAAGGGAAGAATTTTACCTTTTTTCCTGGCAGAAAATTTAATAAAATATTTTTCAAATCCCTCCTGATTCAAAAGTAGTCAGTTTTCTGCACTCCCCTCCTGCATCGCTTCTGCTCTCTTGCTTTACTGAGAGAGCAGCCTGAGCATCAAGTTGGGAGTGAGCTGTGCCTTACGCTGACCAGGTCACGCATCTGCAGCGGCCAGGGAGCAGGATCCGGGTGCTGTCTGGGGTGCAGAATCGCAGCCCGCAGCTTAGGGTGGCTGTACGGCCATGAGGACCTCACTTTCCCTGCCAGAGGGCCATCTGCCTTCATGTGCCATTGTCCGCTGCCTCACATGCTGCAAGACTTAGTCTCCTATGCTCCAGAGTTGTGCTGTGGCACCAGGCCACATCACCTTATGGTGACAGTGATGTCCTTTCTCTGCTCTGCAAATTACAGCCTAGTGACCTGCAGCAGGGTTTTGCTTTTCTCAGCTTTCAGACCGCAAGGCCGGAAATGAGTCCTTCCGTCAAAGCGCATTTGCTGTAGTATCAAAATAAGATGCACCCCTCTGAGGCCAGCGTCTTGAGAGAGGCTGTGTGGAGGAAACTGCCTCTGTCATTTCTGTCTCTCTAGTCTTGAGAATATTTTTTACGAGTTCCAAAAAAAAACCCCCACCCCAAGACCTGCATCTTGCAGGGAGAGACGTGTGACTTGAAATCAGCGTGTGGTTCCAGAGAATCCTTAAACCTGCACGAAACCAAACTTTTTTCTCTCGTTGCTGACGAGGTAAACCACATGCTGGGCTATGTGAGGAGAGGCAAATTGAGGGACGTTGTTATCCCCTCTCCTGGGTGTCCCTCCAGAAGATGGAGGGGGGCCAGCAAAGAGCTGCAAGGCAGGAAGGGGCGTGAGGCATGTGGCCTGCAGGCAGAGCTGGCAGGAGCCGGGCTTGGCTTGCCTGGCCGAGGGGAGGCAGAAGCGGGTTTTAACGTCAGCCTAAAACTGCTGAAAGGACAACTGCAAATGGCTGAGGGCTCTTTGGTCACAACGAGGGGCAACAGCCACACGGCACTCAGGGGCTGTATTCAGCACAGCTCCTTCGCCGG